TTGTAATGTGACAAAATATGGAAAAGTTCAAGGGGTATGAATACTTTTGCAAACCACTGTATACAGATTGTTGTTGTATTTGTTATATTTGTACACTTTCCTTCTAAATTGTGTTTTAAATTATTTTACCTGCCTAAGAACAGGCGATGAAATTTCGCTTTTGAGATAATCATGGCACATTTGTAATAAAACAATGTCATCATTATGCACTGCTCTTTTAAATCAATAAAACTAAATAAAATAAAACAGAACTAATTACCGGTATTTCTTCTCACTTATTCACTGTGAAACACTCCCAACAGGAATTTTAGTCATGAGCCACAACTTCCTTCTCACAACAATTAAAAAAAAAAAAAAAACTGTCAGTGGTCTTTGTTTTACATATTTTTAGATGTCTTAGCATCCTGCACAGACATTTGACTGGTTCTAGGTTGTAAGTAAGTAAGTTAATTAATTAATTAATTAAAAAAAACGTTCAGAAATGTTGCTAATTCTCTAGTCTGCACTGCTTAGTTTGGACTCAGTGAAAACAAGATGGCCCAGTCTAAAGAAACAGTTAAGCTACGACACAGTTAAATAAGCGGTCATGAAGCATAATGTCAATATAACTTGGAGAGAGAAGATTAAAACCAGCGATATTGTTTAATTAAAAGTGTCCWGAGTCTGTCTTTAAAGTGCTGCTGACGCACTGGGGGTGGCAAAGCTAAACATGGACGCTAGCATGTGTTGCTAACACCGCTAAATGAATGCAAACTTTGTAAAACAGAATTCATTTTAAGAAGCTGAGGTTGTCTGGAAACGACCAGAAATCACACACGGAGCAGAAAAGCTGATACGACACCTGCCGAGCTGCTGTTAGCACGAACCAAAACACACGGGCCCTTCGTTACTTCCTCAGACACCCACAYACACTGGCTGACACGAGATAAAGTTGGAGCACGCGCTTCCTCGCGCTCACACACATAAACACGAGCGCAACTACGAGCAAAGAAACGCGTTTYAGTATTTACAGATTTGTAAATGTGCTTTAAATACCTTTCTGGTTCATGCAGGTAGCTTCATTCTGTCGTTTAGGACAATCTGCTGATTTGTAAACAGTAACAGGTCAGGCGGATGTGCTGAGGATCAGCTGACTCATCACGTGACGAGGGGGGCGGAGCTGCTTCATGTTGCTGCTGCAGGTTCTTGATGAGTGAACAGTTTGTACAGGCAAGATGCATTTATAATGTTTTATTCAAGGTAAGACGCAGGTACGAGTTCATATTTTGAAAGGCTGAAATAAGTGTACTGTGGAAAAGTTTGAAACTACTCAAAATGTATTTATGTCTTGCTTCTGTGGAGTTAAAGGTTTTGTAATATCTTAAAAGGTTCMGATTTTTTTTCTTTAGATTTTGGCTGCTTGTGTCCAATAATTGTAGGCTGCTCAACAATTTAGGATAGTTTTTAATCCAAAATTAGGTTAATGCTAAGTTGCCCAAGAGTGGTTCCCAAAGTCGGGGTCGTGACCCACAATGGGGTCCCAAAACATGAAGGTGGGGTCCTGAATAGGTTTTCTGACTTAATTATATTAGAAAATAACAACTAAGAACATTTTTTTTGCCTTTATTGTTACAAGAGTGTAAACTTAGTGTTCTTAAAATGGACAAAAATAGCA